AATAATAAACTATTATTTTGTCATAATTATATTAGTGAGTGAAATAGTGAGGTCTTTAAAGTGAGTAGAAAAAATTGTCTTAAATAAAGACTATAAAATGCCCGAAACGTATTTGAAACGCATTGGCATAATGGCAACGTATGAATCAAACGTATGAATCAAAATCTGTCCTGTTTTTTCATCCTTTTTTGAAATTTTCAGCCTATTTTTTCCGTTTTTTTTTTCTCAATCTGTCCTTTTTTTTTCAGAAAAATATTGGCATCACTAATGCGTACAAGAGAGCGGCTGGCTCTAGAGCGCTCTCTCTCTCTGGCTCTTGAACAAAAATTCGAGATAGCTGGAGCCAGCCCGAAAAAATGGTGTGCAAAAAAATCGTATGGCGTTACGCATCTTATTATTCTAGTGTCTTTGGTCTTACAGATTAAGAATCCCTTTTTATATCACTAACTTCATTTACTAATAATTTGTTTTACATTTTGTATTATTATTACTATTAGTACCCCCCTTAAATGTGTTCGGCTACGCCCATGACTATGCGAACATATGTTCGGTGAAGTTGAATTGGATTGAATTGACCATGCTGTGTAATATATTTAAACGCTCGTTTCAAGCGAATATAAATAAAGTGAATAACTTAAATGTGCTGCGGTTGAGCAGTTCCAGTGGACAACGAGGAGAGATCCAGGACGCACTGGACATAGAAGCCAATCTCTTTGGAAATTCAGAGTTGAAGCATGAACCGATAAACACGAGGGAAGCTTTACGCAAGAATCGGTTTGCGGGTAGAAAACCCAAGGTACCCATTGCTTCAGTAGCATCTCGCAAACTTCCAGCTCCAGCGCCTCCTGCTCCACGAAGTGCTCCAACTGCCGCTCCAATAATCAAGGACAGTGAGCTGAATCTGAACTTTGTGCGCCTCACCCTGCAGGATCCCCTTACCAGCACCCTACTAACCACAGTGCGTTCCCGCAAGCGCCGTGATAAGAACCGGCAGATCATCGTCGAGGGCCGCCGTCTCATCCAGGAAGCCCTGCAATGTGGCCTCAAAATGGAAGCCCTACTTTTCTCCCAGAAAGATCAACTGGCTCTGGTGAAGGAGGAAGTAGGTATGGCGCAGCTAGGGACAGGCACCAAGATTTACAAAGTGCCGCAACATGACCTAAAGACGTGGTCTTCACTGGTAACTCCTCCCGGTCTGATGGGTATATTCGACAGGCCTTCGGACAAAGGCTTGGAGAAGAACCTAGCGGAGCAACAGCGTCTGGGCTCTCAGCCTTTCCCCATTACAGTTGTGTGCGACAACATTAGGGAGCCCAACAATCTGGGCAGCATCATTAGGACCTGTGGCGCTCTGCCCTGCAGTCAGGTGGTGGTCACCCACGGCTGCTGTGATCCATGGGAATCAAAGGCCCTGAGAGGAGGCTGTGGCGGTCAGTTTAGAGTTCCCATTCGGGATGATGTCACTTGGGAGGAGCTCGCGTTAACCATTCCCCCAGAGGCGGCAGACGACTGCCATGTTTTTATTGCTGAGAGTAACCAAAGGAAGCGGGAAAACAACCAGACCATTGATTATGCGGATATCCAGAGTCTCGGAGCCCATAACTTGCTCATTATCGGCGGAGAGAGTCACGGAGTCAGTGAGGAAGCTTACCGGTAAGGGTTGAAACAAATGAGTTATAAAAAGCAAAACTAATTATTTATTTTGTCAGTTTCTTAAACATGGTTGGAGGTAAAGGAAAGTGCATCTATATTCCCCTGGCAGCTGGAATCGATAGCCTGAATGTGGCATCCGCCCTGACGCTGTTGCTGTTCGAGCTGCGCCGAAAACTCAGACAGCAGGCCTCAGCTTAAGATTAAGTTTTGAAAAACAAGGGTTAAAAATAAATGTATTATTTTCCTGAAAAGTTAATTTTCATGGCTACAGATATATAAACCATAGCTGACATTTAGCCATTGTAAATCCCATCTAGAAAGTTGGTATTCTGTTATGACCCTTTCGAAAAAACAATTTTCACTCTCCTTGTGTCAGGCATAATATAAATTTATTGCTAGGCTGTTTCACAAATAGAGTAATTAATAATTACATTAAATTCAACTATTAGCTTCGATTTCCTTGTAAACCTCCCGCTTATACTCGTCCAGTCCACCTTCAATTGCTCTGACTGTGCGATTGCCACACACCCAGAGTTCCTTGCAGACGACCTTGATGAGACGTTCGTCGTGGGAAACAAGGATTACGCCGCCCTAAAAAAGATATTACATATGTATTTCATGCTGCAGACTACCACAGGCCATTTTACCTTAAAGGCATTTATAGCCCGGCCTAAAGCATCAATGGTTTCAATATCCAAGTGATTAGTCGGCTCATCAAGCACCAGGAAATTGGGTTCCGCTATTAAGTAAATGTATTGTGTTATATTGTAAACGGAAGATAGGAAGCAAATGGATAACCACTATCTTACCCATGCACATCTTCGCTAAGGCCACTCGTGATTTTTGTCCTCCAGATAAACTAGCAATGCTCTGCAGTGCCAGTGGTCCCGATATGCCGAAGCTGCCCAACTGCCGGCGATATTCTTCGTCCGGGCGACCAGGAAACAGTTCTGCTAAAACACCCACACACGTCACATTCATATTCAGGTGATCCACATGGTGCTGGGCAAAGTATCCGATTCGAAGACCGCGATGCAGGACAATGTTTCCATAAATAGTGCTCAGTTGGCCGACAATAATCTTCAGCAGCGTCGATTTTCCCGCTCCGTTTTCTCCGACAATGCAAATCCGAGAGTCCGATGTGGCTGAGAGGTTGACACCCTTGAAGATGGGAAGTGGATCCTCTGGATTGTAACGGAACGTAACCTCCGAAATGGCCAGCACGGGAGGATTGAGGGGCTCCACTTCGGGGAATTTGAGCGTAACCACAGTCTCCTTTTCCACTGGCTTCAGTTCGGGCCTGCAAAGAAACCGTAGACATTTAATTTATTCAAGTTATTAGGTATTTTGATTTTTAGACTTACAGTTTTTCAAGCATTTTAATTTTGGATTGCACAGACGAGGCACGATTTGCGTTGTATCGGAAGCGATCGATGAAGTCCTGGACATGAGCTCTGTGAGCCATTTGGGCCTCGTACTCACGTCTTTGGGACTTCAACTTCTCCGTCTTGGTCTTCTCGAACTGCTCATAGTTTCCCCTTGAAAATTAATTAATTAATATTTTAATTAGGCTAATTTTTAATGTAGTTACTTGTATGCCTCCAGTTCCTGGGAATGTAGGTGAATAATGTCTGTCGGCACCGTGTCGAGGAAGTTGCGATCGTGAGAAACGACCAGAATGGTTGTGGCCCACGTCTGCAGATAGTTTTCCAGCCAAATAATGGCTTTGATGTCCAACATGTTCGTCGGCTCATCGAGCAGTAGCAGATCGGGTTTTGAGAAGAGTGCCCTGGCCAAAGCCAGACGCATGCGCCAGCCGCCTGAGAAGGATTTGGTTGGACGCAGCTGCATGTCTGCGTCGAACCCCAAGCCCTTAAGTATCACAGATGCACGGGCCACGGCCTTGTCCGCCTCGATGTTCTGCAGAGAGGCGTAGGTCTCGCTCAGCTCATTAGATAGCGCCGCATCCTGAACTCCATTGTTAAGGGCAGCCAAAATCTCCTTCTCCCGGTTCAGAAGTCTCGTTCGCTCCGTATCGCACTCCAGCACGCTCTCCACGGCTGGTGTGTCATCGCCCACCACCTCCTGCTCGACGTGTAGCACCGATATGTGCGAAGGGATTTGTAGCTGTCGCTCGGCAATCATCCGGAGCAAAGTAGTCTTGCCCAGGCCATTGCGTCCCACCAGACCATAGCGGCGTCCGTAAGAGAGCAGCAGATTCGCATTCTGCAGAAGAACTCTGGAGGGGATTAACAATAATTTCCTGTTGGCCAATTGCTCAGTTAGGTTGTCTTACTTTTCGCCAAAAGCCAGGTCAAAGTTTTCGATCTTGATGTCCATGGATCGGTTGAGGCCTTTCTGGTCAAGCTTGGTGTTCTTCTTGTTGGTCACCTGGGAGGCTGTTGCCGTTTGTAGCTTCACCGCAACGGGAATCATTCCATGTTTGTTCACCTCCTGCCGTTTCTCCTGCTTCTGCTGCAGTTTGGCCTCTGCCTTTCCCAGTTTCTTAGAGTCTACTTTCTGGAAGAATACGAATGATTCAGTTGATTGCCCCGTACATCCAGTTTCTAGAAGTGGTTTGGCAAGGGGGACACTTACATTGGCGCCGTCTTTGTTGGCCACCCAGATGCTTTGCATGTCCTTGTCCAGTCGTTCCATGTTCTTGGCCATCTCCTCGATGTTGACTGGCGCATTGAGAACCTTCCGCTCCACGTTGACCTCATTGTTTTTCATTATGTTGAGGAACTGCTCGCACAGCGTTCGGACACTTTCCTCCGACCTGTCGCAGTCAACGCTCTGCAGGATGTCGCCCACCGCATCGAAGATGTCATCGCCGCTGTCGAAGTCCTCCTCGCCTGGCAATTTGAATTTTGGTGCGGGGTTAAGTATAAAAGATCACAGGCTAGGCGACCAGAAGGCACTTACTTCCGGTGAGAACGCCCACGACATAGGTGAGCAGCTCGTGGTCGATTTTGGGAAACTCGCGCTGCAGAATGCTGGTGTACTCGCTCATCTTGGCCTTGATCGCAAATTCGGGTTCTGAACGTGTGGCAGTCGGATATTAATTGACTTTTCCGACTTTTACTCCACCGCAAACGAAAACTAAAGGGGAGAGCAGAGTGACCGTCTCTGGGTCGGCGAAGCAAATTTCAGAGATGGTCACACTGATTTACCTAAAATTTGTTTCCTAACAACATATTTTTTTTTAATATAGGTCTTTTCTTTTATATCTTACATATAAAATTTCAAGTGTTTAAACAAGAGATTCCAAAGTTATTTGCTAATTTTTCCAATCACTTCAAGGTGTAGTGTGAACGTCTCTCAGGGTGACCATAGAAATACCAGCTGTTCCATATGTTATTGGCGGAGTGACAACCCTGTTATGTTAGCACCCACTGTTAAGCGAATTGCATAAAATTCCTATTATCTTTCAAAAAACTACTTCTTAAACGACTAAATAAAGCAATATGCTAAGCAAAACAGGACACATTGGAGCCATGGTGCGTAGATTCTTCGGGACCAGCCAGGTGATGCGAGAGACGATCAAAAACCACGAACCCAACAATCTGGAGCGCCGTATGTTGGTCTGGACCGGTAAATACAAGACGCAGGCCGAGGTTCCCAATTTCGTTAGGTAGGTGCGGATTCATTTGGAGTAAATGCAACAGGTGTCTCATACTGGGTATCCCAATTTGCAGTCAGGACGTCATGGAGCGCTGCCGCAACAAAATGCGCATCCGACTGGCCAACATAATGATTGCACTCACCGCCGTTGGATGCGCTATTATGGTGTACAGTGGCAAGCAGGCTGCCAAGCGAGGAGAATCCGTCACCAAGATGAATCTGGAGTGGCACAAGCAGTTTAAGGATCCTCAGCAGAGCGAAGGATCCGCCCCGGCCGCCAAGTAGAAAACCACACCAAGTCCCTCTGCTCGCCCTAAAAATTTCATTTGGCCAAGCTGTCGTTTTCAGTTCCGATAAAGATCGGCTAAAATCGCCATAAAAGATTTTGTATAGGTTTATGTCACTACAAATTGATTTACTATAGAAAGTCCACATTTATAGTTGATGTTAAGATTGGTGCAAATTTCCCTTTTTAAAAATTAATTAATTGTCCATGTTTTCATACGTTTAACTAAAAATCCATATTGTACACTCTTTAAAAAGTCATTATTAAAACCGAATTGGCCAATAATCTATGGAATGGAAAATGGTAGCAGGGCCAAATCTAGTAATTGTTCGGCTTAGAAAATTCTTTGCCATAGGCCGTATCTTTGATACTTTTCAGTGATATTTGCAACTCAAAGTTAGTTATATTATCAAAAATATAAAATATTTTATGAAAATCGTGTTTGGTTGCTTGTTAAAATTAAAAACCACATACATTGTCATTTAAACCAATTTCATTTTTAAAGATACTAAATATTATGGATAGCATACAAGTTTTTATTAGGTAAATTCTTAAAAATGATCGTAAGAGTTTTGATCCGTGTTCATTTAAATTAAGAATAAACTATGCATTTCGTAGATACAAGCCGGTTTTAACGGATATTTGGAATCTTCTGTTACAAAAGTGGTAAATAACTTGTATTTTGTTTTATATTCGATATAAAATAGGCTGTAAGTTGCTAAAGGTAACAGGTTAGAGGGTAATAAACTTTTTAGATCCTGTGAAAAATGCATAGTTATCGACTGCGACTCAATTGTTATATCCTTCATAGGAATCCATTGATATGTATATTTGCCATAAATATTTGATCATAGTTCACTCGGAAGGCAACATGAACATCTGTTTCGATTCTGCATCGCCTTTCGGAGGCCAGTGGCCACCACTTGCTCTTCAAAGTGCGCCGACGCCGTGAGTATCTCGCTGCTGTCCCGGATTCTGGTTCGGATTTGGGTTCGGACTCGCATGCTCCGAGGGAAACTACCGACTGTCGGAGGCGCTGGCGCTTTTGCATTTACTTTTCACTTTCAGTTTGTCGAGAACTGTTTGTCTGAACGCCCCCAAGAAAAAGCCGAGCGGAGCAAAAAAGCGGGACGCAGTTTGGGCCAAGTTTTTTGTGGCCCCCGTGCGTGCAGAAAAGGCTGAGAAAAGTGTCAGAAAATTCGTTTTTCCAAAAACAGAAGAGGGCCAGCATCGAATTTCCCGGATCGAAAGCGTGGAAAATGTACACGCAGTAGTGCGGAAAATGTGCGGCTAACGGAAGGAGGCGGCGGAGGTGGGAAAAGTGTAAGAGGCGACAAGTGTAAAATGCAATAAACCGAAAGGCGTGCGTATGTATGTGTAAACAGTTTTCCTGAATTTCCCAGCGAAATGCGGGACAGATGATGGGCAGATGAAAGTCAACAGGAGTATTAAAACACCATGAAGCAATTGTTTAATCAAACATCAGCGAAGGCAGATTGCCTGCCCAGAAAATCTATAAAAAATGAGAGATTTTCCTGTCTGTCTCTCTTGACCATGTGTGTGTGCTTGTGTGTGTGTGGGAGTGTTTCTCTGTGTGCGTGTTTGGGTGGCAATATTCGTTTGCTTTTTTGATTTGTGAAAATGTGTGTATCCGCGAATGTTGTTGTTGCTGCTGCTGCTGTTGTTGTTGTTGTTGCTCTCGTTCTCTCTGCAACAACAACAGCCGTAAAAAATAACAGAAAAACGAGAGGGAAAATAAGCGTGGAAATTCACATCCAGTTCTAACCGCCCATGTCCTTGCCATGTGGTTAGCTCATTTTAAAATACGCTCTTTAATTGCACCTTATGGCGTGCCTGCAGCCCAACAACAAGTTGTTGTTCCTACATAGTTGGCCTATTTAAATCGACCATGCCCCCTCGCCCCCACAAACACACAAGCACATGCACCACCCACTCAGGATATTAATTTGACCAGCAGGCCAGTGAAAATGGAGAAACAACATAACACGTTAAAAAGCGTTAGGCACACAAAATATATAACGGTCGGTCCCACAAAAGTGAAGGTCGTCTGTAGGAGAGAAAGAGAGAGCGAGGCAGCCAGGAGCAAAGAGGACACTGGGAAAAAGCAGGCGGTACTTACCGATATCTGTAATTCTTCAGGATGATAAAATCAAGGAGCTTTCACCATAAAGCAGAAATACTGACAAAATGTCACTCCATAAGTGGCTTGTTCGCTTATTTGATTATTCTTATTTTAATAAAAATAGTTACATATCTGCGCTAAGCTTTATAACCAATTTAATTTTTAATCTACATAGCCAGGTTCAAGTACTCCCCTTTAAACTTTATTTATAATAATTTTGTGTGCAAACTTTTAATGTATTTATTTAATGTTATGATAAAGTTCGTTGAAAATATTTCATTCGCATAATCTTGTTATCTCTCAATGTTAAAGGATTTATTTTCCCCATTTTAATGAATATAACAATCAATAGATCAAATATGTATTATTTTGACCAGTGCAGCAGCTGCAGTCCATTTGTTGGCGTAAATGTGCGAAAAATCCTTGGCTTGGTTTTTGGCGCAACAACAAAGCTGCACTCATACCAGCATCACCGATGCAGGCACACACACACAACGGCTTTATCTCTGTGTGTGTGCGTGTGTGTTTGATGACGCGCTTAATGCAGCAGAGGCAGCGCTGTTGCAGCGCAGTTGCAGCGCAGCGAATCCAGTAGTTTTGTTATCATTGCATTAAAATTACACTTTCATCATAGCTTAATGCACGTGGGCACTTTATTGCAGTTCTGTTATCACTTTTGAATATTTCCTTAAGAAATCCCTTGAGATCTCAGTAATATGTATCAGTATTGTCATATTTTTTGGCTCATCAAACTAGCGAGCCTTTATGTTGCTACCCCTTGATGTATCTCTAAATATGTATCTCTTACACTTCAATGAGCACATATAGTACACAATCCCGTACGTGGTCGCAGTTGTACTCGTATTTATACGCAGATATAATCACATTTTACGCATGGAAAGGCTTAGCGGGCCTACATAAATTACGCCATTGGCCTCATACAGCCACCCACCCACCGCAGTTACCCGAACCACCCACCCAGTGCGACCCAGGATTTGGCTCTCTGGGCCACTTGCACGTCCACTGGGCGCCCCGCATCGCCGCATCCCCTGAACCGCTCCTGGTGTTCTGCTTGCCATGGCCATCAGGAGAAAAGTTTTTCGGAGCTGGTGGTGGTTTCGGTACATTGCAGCCCTTCCAGCTGACGATGTTGGCCAACTGATAAGCACGAATCTATAAAGTTTTTATGTCTTTTGCAATTAATGCGAACAGCGGAAACTCCCAAGTTTGATCCTGCAACATCCCACTTCGTAACATTTCTTTTTATTACGTAAGCCATGCATTTGACAATATTGCAAGAACTTGGAAAGTTGAGAAAACTAGCTGTAACCATTAAAAATATTCATTTAAAACTGCAGTACAACGATTAGCAACAGATCCTAGCTTACATAATACTAAATACAGAGTACTAAGTGTAAGAAGTTAATAAATATTGATATTATAATTCATATGCAACAAGATTAAAGGCGGTTCAAAAAATATATTAAATAGTTGAATATGGATTACATTTTATTTCAAAGTATGAATAGTTGCTTTTGGCTGAGTTTTTCCAAGTGCACTTGCCATAAAGCTCCCCAATTTCCAGAAACCCTTTCTTCTTCTTGTTACTCCCCATATTTGTTTCCGAACATGCAATTTAAATAATAAATCATGTAATCGAATTGTTGTCGACGCATTCGCCCTTTTCTTGTATTGTCCTCTGGTACAACATGACGTATGGGCAATGCTTAAATTAATAATAAGCATACGCAGTGTGTTGCGGCTCCATAAAAATTAATATGCTAGGGATGCTGAAAGGTGGTCAATATTTTTCTTGCCATCGCAAACAAATATTGTTTAAATATTTTTATTTCGATTCCAGATTGAGATGATTTTAATTGGCCATGAATCAGTTGCCGGATAATTTAATGCATTTTATGCAAGCCTTTGTTTGAATTTATGGCCAACATCGCAATGTTTACGATTCAATTAAAAATGAATTTCTTTGCTTAATATTTTTTATTTTAGCCTTTTTTGTTTTATTAAAGGAAACGCCAAACAGATTTTAAATACATTTTAGCAACCACCTATGGAGATATCTAAAAGATTTTCTGCACATATTTTTCTATATATATATATATATATATATATATTGCACATATATATTTAAGATTCGATGCATAAATATAAAAATGAACCTTTGGAGTGAATATAACATAATTAGCTTCCCCGAGGCAAAGTTCAATCTTTTGACCCAAAATGCAGTGCAGTGTGTGTAGGATCAGTATTGCAGCAGAGATATTTATAGAGCTCTGATGATTGAAAATAAATCGTGTATAAAACCGATTTAATTTCCATGGGGGAGAAAGGCGCCACTAAATCGAATTAGTTTCTTTGAAATGCTTGCCAAATAGACACCTTATTCGAGGAGACACCTTCCATTGGGTGCTTGGTGGGAGGATACATAAGACCCTACTTAAGCGTGGCGACACACTCACGGGCAAAAGTGAAAAGTACAAGGAAAATTATAAAATCTTCACAGGGCCCAGAGACAAATGGCGAAATGTTTTTTGATGTTGGGCCGACGGCGAGGGCAAGGGCGCACTCAAACCCGCACTCAAATCCGAACCAATCCCAGACCGGATCCCAAGTCCTAAGCCGAAACCCGTATCCAAAACCCAAGGGTCCTATGAGCAGGCGCAGAGAAAGTGAGACTCTCACCCACTCTCCCACTCTCCCTCTCTTCTCTCGCGCTTCTCTGCTCAATAGTACACATTTCTCATTTTTCATTAAGCCGCTGAAACAAATTTAAAAAGAACAAAAAACTACTTGTAAACAAAGAAAAAGCAACGCGGGGAAATGTGGAAAATTTGAAGCAGTTGGGAAAACGCCGCGTATTTTTGGTCTGGTCAGGAGGTTGTTGTGATGGCTCAAAAATAGCCCAAACAACACACAGCTAAACGTAAACATTGTTAACTTATTGTCAATAAAAATACAAAACTGAAATGCCCACCAGGCTATAAAATTGTTTTTATGATCTGGAAACGCTTCCATTTCTTTTTGATTCGCATTTTGCCTCAAAGTTGCAGTTGTGTTCAACCTGCCCGTGGATTTCCTTCCCCCTGATTTTCGCAAAAATGACTTCCGCTTCGAGAGGGCTAAAAAGA